ACATGGGTTTGAGCTCTGTGGGTATGCGGATTTAAAAAATTTTTTTAAAGAGGTGATAGCAAAAGCCACAGGTGTTTATTTACAGCTGTCCACACAAGTCTCCCCTGGACTGAACCAAGTGATAGGCACAGAGGTAGTGCTTGTTGCCTTCTGAGTACCAGTGGAGGGCTGTCAGGCTCTCAGAAGTCCCTGGGGACCCTGGGACTGGGCAGGGCTGCAGGTCACCTGTGTACTGACCGGGTGGTCAGGCGGAGTGCTTGGTGCCGGGCTTCAGGAGGCTGGACTGAAGTGGGGGAGCTTGCCCAGAAGCAGGGTCAGCCCTGCACCCAAAGGCCCACCCCGGTGCCCCACCCGCTGAGTCCTAGACAAGCAAGTTGGCCTCTGGGGTTGCCATCGGACACCTTCAGTCCTTGGACCCCTCCCAGGCCCACCTGGGAACCTTCCCTCCAACACACCTGGCAGGCCTGGGCCTGTGGTGCAGCTCCCGGTGGCGTGGCCACTGTTCTGTGCCTCCCGGCTGCTGTCGCCAGCCTCAGGCCTGATCTATGGCTACCAGGCTGTGAAACACGGTCATCCTGGGGCCAGGCTCACAGCCACTTATCCAGCCCCCCACCCCCACCCCGGGTCGGGGCTTGATCTGGCCCAATCAGGGCCTACATCTTGGCAGATTTTTTTTTTTCAGTAAGTTTTTCTTTATGATTTTATTCATGTTTACTCTAGCTTACTTTAGTGGAAGATTATATTATATAGTACCTATGACATAAAAATTACATGTTAATTGATTTCATGTTGTCAGTAAGGCTTCTGGTCAACAGTAGGTTGTTAGTTACATTTTTGGGCAATCAGAAGTTAAACCCAGATATTTGACTGCCCTAAGGGTCAGTGCCCCTAACTCCTGAGTTGTTCAAGGGTCAGCTGTAGTTTAAAGGGTTTTTCTTGGGATGCCTGGGTGGCTCAGTCAGTTGAGTGTCTGTCTTCAGCTCAGGTCATGATCCCAGGGTCCTGGGGTCGAGTCCCACATAGGGCTCCTTGCTCAACAGGGAGCCTTCTTCTCTCTCTGCCTGCTGCTTCCCCTGCCTGTGCACTCGCGTTCTCCCTGTTTCTCTCTCTGACAAATAAATAAGATCTTTAAAAAAATAAATAAAGGAAAAGAAAAGGGATTTTCTTGTCACTTGGGACTCTTGGAGATTTTCTCTGTACACTGGCTTGTCTTTTGCCACAAAAACTGATTGATTGGTTGATTGATTTTTAAAAGATTTTATTTATTCATTTGATAGAGCCTGAGCAGGTAGAAGAGGGAAAGGAAGAAGCAGACTCCTTGCTGAGTTGGGAGCCAGATGCTGGGCTTGATCCCAGGACCTGGAGCTCACAACCAAGGCACAGGCAGACACGCTTAACCATCTGAGCTACCCTGGCACCCCACAAAACCAGTTTTATTTTGATTTACTTTTAAAAAGTTTTATTTCTTGCTTCCCAGTCTGCATACCATCATTTTGTTTGTTTCTTGTTTTTTTCCTTTTTGGGTCTAATTGCATTAGTTAAGAATTCTAGTACAAGGTTGTCTAGGATTGGTGAGAGGGGGACATCCTTGCATTCTTCTTTTTTTTTTTAAGATTTTATTTATTTATTGGACAGAGAAAGAAATCACAAGTAAGCAGAGAGGCAGACAGAGAGAGGAGGAAGCAGGCTCCCAGCTGAGCAGAGAGCCCTATGCGGGGCTCCATCCAGGGATGCTGGGATCATGACCTGAGCCGAAGGCAGAGGCTTTAACCCACTGAGCCACCCAGTCTTCCTTTTTTTTTTTTTTTTTAGTAAGATTATTTATTTAATATTATTTATTTATTTGACAGAGAGAGAGATCACAAGTAGACAGAGAGGAAGGCAGAGGGAGAGGGGGAAGCAAGCTCCTGCTGAGCAGAGAGTCCGATGCGGGGCTCGATCCCAGGACCCTGAGATCATGACCTGAGCCGAAGTCAGAGGCTTAACCCCACTGAGCCAGCCAGGTAACATCGTTCTTCTTGACGTTACCAAAAAACGTCTAGTTCTTTCAGGGTAGGGTATTAAACAAGAGTTCAGTTGGTGGGGTGCCTGGGTGGCTCAGTCATTCAGTGTCTGCCTTCGGCTCAAGTCATGAGCCTGGCATCCTGGGATCGAGCCCCGAATCGGGCTTCCTGCTCAGCGGGGAGCTTGCTTCTCCTTCTTAGCTCTCCAGTGCTTGTTGTGTTCCCTCTCTCATTCTGTCTCTGTAATTAATAAATAAAATCTTAAGAAAAAAGAGTCCAGTTGATGTAGAGGCGGTGTGGGCAGAGAGGAAGCATTCTCCACTCCAGTGATTCATTCTCAATGTCTTGTGAGCCTGTGTACCTGGACTTGACCTTCTGTGGTATAATGAGAAAGGTATGTCCTCTTTGTCCTTAGTTCCTAAGAAAAATCTCTTGAAGCCCTTGGAATTACTCGAGTGATAAGGGTGATTGTGTCCTTTTTTTTTTTTTTTTAATAAAGGGGTAACATCGGGCTCTCTGCTCAGCAGGGAGCCTGCTTCCTCCTCTCTCTCTGCCTGTCTGTCTGCCTACTTGTGATCTCTGTCCATGAAATAAATAAAGAAAATCTTTAAAATAAAGAAGTGACTCTTGGCCATCTCCTAGATAGCTTCTGGATGGGGATTGGACACCAGGAACATGAAGCCTTGATTAGGGGCATGGGACTTTGAGCCCCAGCTCCCAATCTCTGGAGAGAGGAGAGGAGCTGTAGAGTTGTTAATCACCAATGGCCAGTGATCTAACAAATTGTGTCCATTTAATGAAATCTCCCATCAAAATCCGTAAAGACCCGAATCAGAGGGTCTCCAGGTTGGTGAACACATACATACTGGTGCTGGGAGGTTGGCATGTCCAGAGAGTACCGCTCTACAGCCAGCAACCCCCACCCCGCCATCCCCCTCACCAGTATGACCCCCTTACTTTGATCTATGCATCGCTACCTTTGTTCCTGCACTGTATCCTTTAGAACATATCAGTATACTTCAGGGGAGTTCTTACCGTTGATCCGGGAACTTACCAGACGTGATGGCACTCAGAGGGAACCTGAGTGTGTAGGCAGTTGGGCACAGATGCCAGCAGCCTGGCCTCCCTGTCTGTGGCTGGCATCTGGAATGGGGCCACCAGTGTGTGGGGCTGAGCTCTCCACCTGCAGAGTCGGACATGAACTCTGGGATTAGCGTTGGACTTGAACTGAACCCATGTGACCCCTGTTTGGTGACACAGAGTTGGAAAAATGACATTGAACAGTCACTGCGTGTTGGGTATTAGGCAGAGGATTAAAAACCCTATTGTCCTCACAAGTATTCCACCTCGTGGAAAAGGCTGGAAGAGCCTCGGGTTGGCTATTTCCTTCCTCCCAGGTCAGAGAGGCTCTGGGAGAATCCCAGTCAGTGACGCTCTGATGAAATAGATTGTTTTGAAGTCAGGCCTTTTTTTTTTTCCATTTTGTTTTGTTAAGATTTTTTTATTCATTTATTTGACAGCACAAACAGGGGTAGCAGTAGAGGGAGAGGGAGAAGCAGGCTTCCCTGCGGATCAGGGATCCTCATTTGGGGCTGGATCCCAGAACCTTGGGATCATGACCTGAGCCAAAGGCAGACACTCAACGACTGAGCCACCGAGGTGCCCAAAAGTCAGGCCTTGTTAAGAAGCCTAGAATATTCCTGGCATATTTTTATTTTTATTTATTTATTTTAAAAAATATTTTATTTATATTTGGCAGAGATCAAAAGTAGGCAGAGAGGCAGGCAGGCAGAGAGGGAGAAGCAGACTCCCTGCTAAGCATAGAGCCATATGTGGGGCTCGATCCCAGGACCCTGAGATCATGACCTGAGCCGAAGGCGGAAGCTTAACCCACTGAGCCACCCAGATGCCCCTTCCTGACATATTTTTAAATGTCTACTTTTTGTCTCTAATTTTGGAGACAGTGGTTTGCCATGTTACCTCAGTTCTGTGATGAAAGAGTTGTCGATTTCAGGTTTTTTGGCTTTTGTCTTCTGAGGACTAGAAGCCAGCTTCTAAGACATGTCCAGCCAGACACCAGAAGGCTGTGACTCCTCTTCTGATGTTTGACTGCTGACAGCTTTCAACCCTCATTTCTCCTTCCCCCACTTTGTGCCCCACATTTGTACAAGGGGACCAAACAGCCTGGGTGCTCCTTCCTTTGGTTTTGGCAAATGATTCAATCCACTGCCGTGTCCCTGTCCCCCAACTCTCACCCTAGCCCACCCCAACCCAGGCCAGGCTGCTTTCCTTGCTCTCTCCCCGCATTTCCTACCTGCTTAAGAGGCCTGTCCTGTGATGCCCTCCCTGGACGTTTGCATTATGGAAGGAAGAAACACTTTCTTTCTTTCTTTTTTTTTTTTTTTTTTAAAGATCTATTTATTTATTTGACAGACAGAGATCACAAGTAGGCAGAGAGGCAGGCAGAGTGGGGTGGGGGGAAGCAGGCTCCCCGCTGAGCAGAGAGCCCGATGTGGGGCTCGATCCCAGGACCCTGGGATCATGACCTGAGCTGAAGGCAGAGGTTTTAACCTACTGAGCCACCCAGGTGCCCCGGAAGAAACACTCTCATACCCTGTAGGCATGTGTCAGTGTCGACAGTCTGAACCAAATCTCAGGCAGGGGCCCACCTGCCCATGTGGTTGACCCTAACAGTCACACAGTAGGTTACCTGCTGCGTATTTGGCAATCCTCTTTGCTTTCTTTTTCTCTTGATAAATCTTCCAGATCTTTGATATTAGTGCATGTCATCCTTGTATAAGTCTGAGTGCAAATGCGTGAAAAATTCTGTGGACATTGTTGAAAAATTCTTGGGCTATAGACAGTGATCAGATCAGACTTATAGGAAATAGCAGTGGATTGAATCACTTGATCCTCCTGCATTCTTTTTTTTTTTTTTTTTTTTAAGAATTTTACAAGTTTAATGTGAAAATTAAAAAAAGAAAAAAAATACAAATAGAAAGAAGTTCATATTCTTTAATGTTGTACAAAACAGTATGAGTAGAACCAAAAGTAAATTAAACATTATCACATTTGTTTACACCACCATCTAGTTCTTCATATTAACTTTACTATTCAAACAACAGAAAGTTAGGTAGCAATTTAGGGATTGGGAAAGAGATATAAACCAAAAAAAACTTTTCTACCATATTTATTCTACACTGTGTATAGCTGTGCTCACAGAGACGGCTTCTTTTACTTCTCCACTGTGCAGGAATTCAGTTGTATATAAAATTGAACCTGCTCAGAAGCTGAGGGAGACTAGAAATGATGGGTCCATATCCTGGTGCATTGTCATACAATTCAAACAATGGTGCAGCTACAAGCTTGTAATTTTTAGGGACTGCAAACAAGGCTTTCTCTTGAAGTTGAACCAAAAACAACTTCTTATGTTCCTTAGGTTTTGTAATATGTGCAGGAATATACGGGTACTGAGGAGGTTCAAAATTTGGTCTCCACCAGTTACCAATGCAGTCATCAATGACCCAGTCTTGCAGGACCCCATCTTGACGACCCAGTATCTCTGTCATTAAGCGTTTTAGTCCTTCAACTTCATCTTCTCCTGGGTTAAGTTCACCACCAGGTAATTTGAAGAAAGTTGTTCCCAGCTGTAGCAGTAACACATGTGGTAGCCGGTGCTCATGAACAATCAGAACCCCTTCTACAGTCCTTCTCATTCCAATTTTATCAAATTCCTCCCTCATGCGCTGAAATCTGGCTGCAACAGAGCTGTCCTTCTCATACAGGGGCTCTTTTGTACCAAAAGTATAATTGGTAAGAGGGTACAGGTTGATGGTGCGCTCCAGGGTGAGGGGCTTGATCTGCTGGATGTACTTGTTGCCGAACTGGTTGACTCCCCGCGGCCAGCCGGTTTGTGAGCGATTAGGCGGCACCACGGACATACTGGCGAGCTCGAATACTTGCGGAGAGTGGAAGTGGGGCAGGCAGGGAGTCTTTCCCTTGCCGGTAGCGGTTATTTGCGTCCCCCTCAGCAGACGCCACCCGCCATTAACATGAGAGCGCAAGAGGGAGGGCGATCCTCCTGCATTCTTGCATCATCAAGTATCAAGTAACAATTTAGAATTCATGATGGTCTTCAACAGTTGGCATTAGTAAATTGATTAGTTTCTCTTTGTTCACAAATTTTTGTTCTAATCACTGAAATGGGATCTACTGGATTTTTTTTTTTTTTTTAAGGAAACACCCGGAGATCTTTTTTAAAGATTTTATTTATTTATCTGACAGAGAGATCACAAGGAGGCAGAGAGGCAGGCAGAGAGAGAGAGAGGGAAGCAGGCTCCCCACTGAGCAGAGAGCCCGATGCGGGGCTCCATCCCAGGACCCTGAGATCATGACCTGAGCCAAAGGCAGAGGCTTAATCCACTGAGCCACCCAGGTGTCCTGAGGTTTTTTTTTTTTTTTTTTTTTAAAGATTTTACTCATTTATTTGAGGGAGAGAGTGTGAGTAAGAGAGCATGAGCAGAGGGAGCAGAGGGAGAAGAAGACTCCCCACCGAGCCAATATGGGGCTCGATCCTGGGACCCTGAGATCATGACTTGAGCCGAAGGCAGCCCTTTAACCAACTGAGCCACCAGGCGCCCCTCTGCTGTACATTTTATTTCCCTGTTACCTCATTACTGAGGTGATGGACATTTTTAATATACAGCATTTTATCTTCTGTTCAATATGTTTGACTTCTTTGCCTTTTGGATGTGCGTCGGTTCATTTTCACTCCGCCAGCTGACCTTTTATATTGCAGGCGTTGCTGATACTTTTCCTTGTTTGTTTCCTTAATTATCTTCATTTTAATATAGTAGAATTTGCCCGTTTCTAGTTTTTTCTTTTAAGATTTTATTTATTTATTTGACAGAGAGAGAGAGAGACAGCAAGAGAGGGAGAGGGAGAAGCAGGCTTCCCGTTCAGCAAGGAGCCCAATGCAGGACTCAGCCCCAGGACCCCAGGACCCCAGGACCCCAGGATCATGACCTGAGCTGAAGGCAGACGCTTAACGACTGAGCCACCCAGGCACCCCAGCTGTTTCTGATTACTCTTACTTACTTACTCTTTTTCTTCTGGGAAAATTTTCCCTATTCCTGCGTCAATAAAATCTCTCTACGAATCTCGCACATTTAAATCTAGAATGAATTGGCTATTTTCCATGGAATATTGGGGAATACAGTGTATTTTTCCAAGTGATTAACAGTGTGAGCCTGCCTGTGTGTAAAGTGTTCGTGATATTTGCACCTGTGCCTCAAGGACTGCTGTCCCTTGACTGACTTTTCATATTAAATACCAGCCTCTTGAAGGCACTTCCTACCCTTGTCTGTCTGCTTATCGCACTGCTGGTTAGTGCTGTATTGTCTGGAATAGTATAGCTTAAAAATTCTTGATGGGTGTTAGGTAGACCACCACCTTGTTCTTCAGAAGACTGTCCTTTTCTTGACATTTGTTCTGTCTGTTGGGCTTGGAGGAGTACTTTTGTTGACTAGTAAAGAATCTGTTTGGGGGATTATGGAATTCTATAAAAATACTACTTGGGAGATTCTTGGGTGGCTCAGTCAGATAAGCATTTGCCTTCGGCTCATGTCATGATCTCGAGGTCCTGGGATCGAGCCCCACATCAGGCTCCGTTGCTCAGCAGGAAGCCTGTTTCTCCCTCTCTCTTGCTGTCTCTTTCTGTGTCAAATAAATAAATAAAATCTTTTAAAAAATACTATTTGGGAGTGGTGACATCTGGATGACACTGAATTCTTGTTAAGAACAATTGGCATCAGTTCACTTACTTCTACTTTGACATTAAGCAACAATTTTAACATTTTTCTTTTCTTTTTTAAAGATTTTTATTTATTTATTTTTGACAGAAATCACAAGTAGGCAGAGAGGCAGACGGGGGCGGGGCGGGGGCGGCGGGGTGGCAGGCTCCCTGCCGAGCGGAGAGCCTGATGCGGGGCTCTATCCCAGGACCCTGGGATCGTGACCTGAGCCAAAGGCAGAGGCTTCAACCCACTGAGCCACCCAGGCGCCCCTAACATTTTACTATGAGGATCATTAAACACACTTTAGTCTGCTTTGGTACTGAAATTGGCTTGGATAAATTAGGAACAAGCTTTCAAATGTCATCTCAGTGTAATCCCAAAGGATGGGCTCAGTTCTTCAACAGGGTGTGAGTACACAATGCAAATTATTGTCTGTCTTTGTAGAGACTCAGTGTCTGGAGTGTTTGTTGGGAGCTGTGTTTGCCAAACCTATAACAAATTACAGACACTCAAAAGGAAGATAGGAGTTTCATGTCCCGTAATGTTTGCATTAGTGCTTTAGGCACAGTGAGGCACACTTTCCTGTAGGGTTGGTGGGGTCACTCCCCAAATCCCAGTTCCCAGATACCATCAGCAAAGGAAGAACTTTGTCATCCAGGATTTCTAAGGGTAAGCAATCTCAGGCCTGCTAATGTTCACTCTCATCTGCACACTGGCTAATAGGACTTTCTATGAACCTGGTCTACAGTTCCATTGTGGAAAGAGTTATTAGGACTGACCCAGGCACCTCATTACTCCCTGGACCCACAACAGGAGAGAGGTTCCTCGTCTGCTGTCACTCCACTAAGTCAGTTCTAGAATTAGAATTGCTGGGTTGGGAGCTTTTCTCTGCTTCCTAGGCAGGGACACCATCGGATGACTGATCTCTTTCAGGGACCAGTATTTAGGGGAACGAATCCACTGAGGGATTCCCGGGCTTGGGCTGGTCTATCCTGCTGCCTTCCCAGCAGAGAAGCTAGAAATGAGTGAAGTAGGGAGGAGAGCCTCCAGAGTGGCTGGTTGGGGATCACTTGGACCAGGAATCAGAAAAAAGGGGATTTGCTAGGGTTTTTGGAGGAAAGCACTGTTGAACTCTGTCTGTTTCACATTATGAGCAAATTCACTCTCAGTAGCATCGTGGAATTCAATAAAACCCCTTGCAAATTGCATGCCTTGACATGTTCCTCAAGGTTACCAAGGTCCTGTTTACAGTGACACGGTTCTGTCAGAAAGTCTCTTCTGGTATCTTATCATCTCAGTATGTGTGCCTTTGTGTGCTAAAAATTGGTGGGAGGCAACTCTGGGGCTCACGAGTATATAGATTTAGGGGATGTCTGTGTTCTCGCCTTTTCCTCATGTCTCAGTTGTATGTTCTGAATATCTTCCTGGTCCATGAAGTGAGACGGAGCACGGAAACTAAAACTGATTCTGTGTTAAAGATATACAAACAAATTATAATTATACTCTTCTATGAAAATGCTGTTCATGCAGCTGGATGTGACTGTTTGTTGTGGCCTGGAGGACTTTAGGATATTGTGGCCAGCTGGATCTTGTAACATTTTGGATCCTCCTGGCTTCTCATGTTTGGGGATGGGACTAGAAGAAAAGGCTTCCATATTTCCCCGTTTCTGTTGATAAAACATCACGCACTTGTGACCCTGTGCTTCATGGAGTGCTGTGTGCTGTGGTGGGTATTTAAGGAGAAGATGGGAAGTTTTTCTCACAAAGAATTGATAGTCTTAAGATGGAACTGTTTCTTTTATCTGCATAGCATTTCTCCAAGGGGTTCTGTTCCCTGAGGGTAGAGAGACATGGAGACTGGAAGTGATCACAGTAAAAATGTAGCAATAAAGTCGTGTGTTCGTGATGCTCTTACATTCATGAGGAAGTGAGTGTGGCCAGAGAGGACGGGTCTGATGACCCAGGCATAGAGTAAACGTTGAGAAATCAAAAGTCCCATGTGAGTTTCTTACGAACTGAGTAGAGATTGACGGTGCCATCCGTCTCCCCGACCCTCCTGTACACATACGTGGGATGTTTCAGGACTCAGTGGCCTTTGAGGATGTGACTGTGCACTTCAGCCTGGAGGAGTGGGCTCTTCTGAATCCATCCCAGAAGAAACTCTACAGAGATGTGATGCAAGAAACCCTCAGGAACCTGGCCTTAGTAGGTAAGCATGATGACATTCTTACTTACAAGTCCATTAGTGAACCAGTATGAGTTGTTCATCAGGGCTGTTTCAAGAGGTGAAATGTGGAAAGGGGAATATGTTGGTAAATAAATCAGCCATGGTGACTGTTCATCATGGATCTAGAATCTTAAAAACTTGAATATTCTTTTATAATTTGTGATTTTTTTCCTGGTCTGCATTTTAGGAGAAAAATGGGAAGACCGTAACAGTAAAAGTCTGTATAAACATCATCAGACAAATCTAAGGTGAGTCCCACTTACATAAGAACATTGTCTCTGGCGGTGCCTGGGTGGCTCAGTTGGTTAAGCGGCTGCCTTTGGCTCAGGTCGTGATCCCGGGGTCCTGGGATCGAGTCCCGCATTGGGCTCCCTGCTCCTTGGGGAGCCTGCTTCTCCCTCTGCCTCTCTCTCTCTCTGTCTCTCATGGATCTCATGGATAAATAAATAAAATCTTTAAAAAAGAAAAAAAAAAAGTTTCTCTGGGGGCACCTGGCTGGCTTAGTCGCTAGAGCGTGCAACTCTTAATCTCAGGGTGGTGAGTTTCAAGCCCCAAGTAGGGTGTGGAGCCTACTTAAAGTCAAAAAAAAAAAAAAAAAAAGAAAAAGAACAAAAAATAGTTGTCCCATGAGAAAAATCTTTGTGATAATATTAAAAAAAAAAAGAAGCAAATAAAGCAAATCAGATCATTTTTAAGTTTTTATCATCAAATGTTTTTTCTCTAATATGACAGATGTTCAATGTTTGAAAAATAATAACATGGAGAAAGTATTCAGAAACCCCACTTACGGTTATCATTTTTGATCATAGCTGTGATCAGTTCCTTGCAGAATGGTCCGCATGTACTCAACTTTCAGACAATCAGAAAGCACAAAAAAATACACTTTCGGGGGGAAAATGGTAAAAATGTTGAAATAACTTAATAAATATGAAATTATGAAGAAGCCATTAATAACATGCTTCTCATTTTTACAGCAGGCCTGTGGTAGAGAGACCCTGTAAAAATAAAGAAGGTAGTCCATGTGAAGAATCCTTCAGCCAGAAT